ACATCGAAGGAATTCCGGAACTCATGCAGAAGATCAAGCAGGTCGGCATGTTCGGTGAGAGTGAGGGTGTCGGCGATGGCGCTGGAAAACGTATCCTTGGACGACTCCTCGAGGGCCGAGAGTGATTTTGGGTGGTCGCAGTAGTCATCCGGGACATCAACCAAAGACGAAGGGTCGAGATCCTGCACGCGGCCGAGACATTCCCCCGCAAGCAAAGTGACAGGTGTGGAAAGCGGGTAGAGTATGAACATATTGCTTCTTCCGGCGGCAAGGTCAATTGTTGCGAAAGGCAGCGGCAGAGCTCGAGGACTCGTGAAAATATCGGAAGGCATAAAAAAGACTGTAGCGTCAGTGTAGGCGTTGCATGAAACTGGAACAAGTGTGAAGTTTTCAGGTGGAATATCGGTGTCTTCATGCACGAACAACTTCGGCGGCTGATGAAGAGCGTCAAGTAATGGGACATCACAAAAGGGTGAAAACTCAACTTCAGCGCGTGCGCAGTCGATGACGGCATTATGGCGGGATAGGAAGTCCCATCCGAAGATGACATCATGCGAACAGACAGCGAGGACAATAAACTCCACAATGTAAACAATGCCTTCGATGGACACTCTCGCAGTTCAGGCTGCGAGAGGCGTTACTTGCTGTGCACTTGCGGTGTGGAGTGACAGTCCCGAAAGCGGCGTCGTGACTTTACGTAATACACGGCAGACATTAGCGGCAATAACAGAAACAGCGGCGCCGGTGTCTACAAGGGCAAAAGTAGAATAACCTTGAACACTTACTGCGACCACGTTAGCAGGAGAGGGGCGAGGGCTTAGACATTCTTGCCTCTTGAACTGCGGTGCTTAGTTTTCCTGGTCAGAAGGTCTGGGCCGGCGACGCATTGGAAGGCGATCGCCGACGAGGAGAGCGTGCGCGCGGCGTCACGAAGTCGGGGTCGTTAGGAGGGGCATAGCGAAGTGACGAGACCGGCCCGTATTGCGCGAGGGGTTGGCTGCCGGGTTGCTACGATCGGACATAGTCGCCGAACGTCGGAGGTCGACGGCGGCAGTAGCGGGCAACGTGTCCGGGAGTAAAGCAGGCGTAGCATATCGGTCGGTTATCGGGCGTGCTCCAAGAATTGGCTACTAGTGGTGCTGCCCAAGGTGCAGTATAAGCAGCCGGGTGTGCGGGCTGTGAGCGCGAGGTGTAGGGTGGTTGCGGAAGCCTACGCACAGCGTCTGCATATGTGAACGGCGCTGCTACAGGCTGCTTCACTTGCGAGCAGGCGACAGGAGGAGCCACAGGCTGCGCTGCATACGTTAGGGGCGCGGCCACAGGCTGCACGGCTGGCGGATAGGCGACAGGAGGGCCTACCGGCTGCGCGGCACGCTGGCAGTGGGCAAGGCTGGATAGAGGCGGCTTGTGGTGCGCAACAGGGACATCTTGGGCAACCTCTTCCGAAATAGCAGTGCGAAGCGGGGCAGGTAGACGGGTGGCGGTCTCGTGAGTGAAGGGCACTAGGGAAAGTTGGCGGGCGACTTGCTCACGGACGAAGGCTCGAACTTGCTGAAGCAGCGGTGAATTGTCCGGTAGGGTGTCGAAACTGGACAGTGACTCACCACCATGCTGAGGCCACCGAGTCAGAGTGCGTTGCTTCTTCAACTCGTCGTAGCTCTGACACAAGCTGACGACTTCGGAAACTGTGCTCGGATTTCTTGCCAAGAGCATTTGAAATGCGCCGTCATCGATGCCCTCCCTGCAGGATGTTTTTGACCTCGTCAGATTCGGGCATGGTGTCATTCAGACGTCGACAAAGGTCGATGACGTCCTCAATATAGCTGGTAAAGGTCTCGCCAGTCTGCTGAGAGCGGACGCGCAAGCACTGTTCTGGCCTCTGCTTGCGGACAGCCGGCCGACCGAACGCTTCAGCACATGACGTCTTGAAGACGCTCCATGTGGGGATGTTGTGTTTGTGGTTATTGAACCACGATTCGGCGACGCCAGTGAGATAAAATATCACGTAGCCCAGCTTGTCGGCTTCATCCCACTTATTGTTGGCGCTCACCAGTTCGTAGTGCTCGAGCCAGTCTTCGACGTCGGTCCCATCCGCACCGCTGAAGACCTTCGGCTCCCGTAGCCTAGGATGGCCAGGGCAGTTGAACTGGAGCGAAGGTGTCGATGTAGTGGCGTTGGCAGTTATGACAGGTGGTAGCGTGCGGTTTCGCAACTCCAGGGTGTAGCAACGGGTTTTACGTCCCAAAACCACCATATGATTATGAGAGACGCCGTAGTGGAGGGCTCCGGAAATTTCGACCACCTTGGGTTCTTTAACGTGGACCCAAATCTGAGCACACGGGCCTACAACATTTTCGCCTCCATCGGAAATGCAGCCGCCACAGCTGGGGCACAAATACCTGAGACTAAATATAACCTCTGACATTAAATGGGATTGTCATGTCAATAATATTACCCAACGGCACTTATACGGCTCTTCTTTCTTGAAGGACACCTTCATCAAGCACCCCGTTAGTCTAAATTACTAGCTTGTATTTCACTCATTAAATCAGTGTTAGAATATGCTACCCCAGCGTGAGTTTCAATAACCAGTAAATTAATATCTATTATATAGAGAGTACAAAAAATCAATCAGTTTCTTTTTCCAAAAATATCAGCTCACAGCCTTCGACTAACAATAACCTCTGACAATAAATGGGATTGTCATGTTAATAATATTACCCAACGGCATCTATACGGCACTTCTTTCTTGAAAGGACACTTTCATCAAGCACCCCGTTAGTCTAAATTCCTAGCTTGTATTTCACTCATTAGATCAGTGTTATAATATGCTACACCAGCGTGGTTTTCATGAACAGTAAATAATAACAATTATAGAGAGAGCACAAAAAAATTAATTAGATTCATTTTCCAAATATCTGCTCACAGTCCGAGACGATAACCATTGACTATAAATGGGATTGTCATGTCAATAATATTACCCAACGGCACTTATACGGCTCTTCTTTATTGAAGGACAGTTTCATCAAGCAACCCGTTCGTCTAAATAACTAGCTTGTATTTCACTCATTAGATCAGTGTTAGAATATGCTACCCCAGCGTGGTTTTGATATTAGTAAATTAATATCTATTCTATAGAGAGTACAAGGAAAATCAATTAGATTCTTTCTCCAAGAATATCAGCTCACAGTGCTTTAATGAAATCAGCCGGAATTATTACAAAATAAAAACGCGCTACGCTGTCACGATTGAAATCGCTTCGTCAAGTAATTTTTAACAAGCTTAATTCATCAACCAACTCATAACAAGCTAAATATTAACAATTTTAAATATACCTCTGTTGCAGACACAAGAATAACTAGACTAAAGCATTCATACACCCTCAATGAACACCAATTATATACTGTTTACTTTATTACTTCTTCTTCCAGCTAGTCATAAGGCAGTGTAACAACTTACCCTCCACTATTACCAATAGTTACTCAGTAAGCACTTTTATATCACTCCTTGAAAAATACTTACATGACACACACACATAAAACTACATACGTTTTGCAACATTCTTCAACCATTGATTTTACCCTTAGTACCAACATGCAACTCAATACTTTTTACCCACATGCTACTAACTAATATTGCAAAATGTGCCTTTTCTGTACTTTTTTGTTAAGCTTGTACATGTAGAACCTATTGTATAGCCTAATCGTAAGTATTCTGGTGTGTTATGATGTGTCAGTGTTTTAAAGTTTGGCTTCACGGTGTCGTATAGACTTTTTGCATATGTGATTTTTCACGCAGATTTTTACATTGCCATTAGCAAAAGAAACTGTTCTGTTATTTTGCATAAATTCTGCTTTGATATATTTTAAACCTTGTTATATATATATAAGTTGTGTCCTTCTGTCAGTAATATCTAATGGGATTGCCAATATGTACTAAATGAAGAATCGAAAATTTACACCCCCCCTCTGATAGTAGCTATAGCTTTACGGTGACGGGGTACGTCGCTATTGCTGCATCGCTATTAATACGGGCACCATCACTGTTACAATTTCCCTACGGTGACAGGCCCCCTCACTTTGACGACTTTACTGCGCTGACGGGCACCGTTATTGTGGTCACGATTACATTACGCTGACAGCTCCCCTCACTCCAACGATAGTACTGCGTTGACGGGCCTCCTCATCATAGTCACTGCCAATAAAATCACCATGATTGCTTCCCAACTTGTGAGCGATTTCCTTTAAACAATTTCTAGTACTTCACATGTAATCATATTCATTTTATGGCATATACATATCTGTAATAATGGTTCGTTATATTGAACAAGCTGTCGTATATGCGAAGTTAACGAAACATTCACTAGGCGACAAAGATTTGGGCACTAGACACGCAGATAGATAGATAGATAGATAGATAGATAGATAGATAGATAGATAGATCGATAGATAGATAGATAGATAGATAGATAGATAGATAGATAGATAGATAGATATATAGATAGATAGATAGATAGATAGATAGATCAGCGCTGCTCATAAAAGACGGTGATATTGGGGACAGCGAGATGTACGGAAACGAAAGTAGTGAGGCGTAACGTTCCGCGGCTGCCACCCACGGTGCCACCACACTATGCGCCGCCGTGTCATTCACAATAACTTCAATCCTGAGTTATGTGGTGGGGGCGTCCACCGATAGAATATACGCCTGGTCATGGTCGTTCATTTAGCGAAGTAGTCACGAATCAAGCTATCTCAATTACAACATATTTAAACATCTGCGCTGAAAATTTGTATTATGCGATATCGCAACTGCTTGTGACTACTTCATAAACCTATGGAGTCTGGTTTTTCAAACTATCTTTTTTTCTACTGTGGTGTTCTTTACCTAATTAGAAATAACCCATCTCCAGATAAAATGTAGTTCTGCGATTTCGAAACAGTTTATTTTTACTGCTGTGCTAATTTCAAAACAATCGACTATGTTGTTCCTTTTTTTAGAAATACGACATGAGGAAATGCATAGTAAGATGTTTTATTAACAAAAATGGAGGGAACATGCTAATCGGCGCTGTGGATGGCGTTCATTGCGACAAGAAAAAGGTGAGCCACGTTGTTAATAGATTTTTTGCGCTCAGGTGTTATTACACTGTTTTAGTATATCAGCCAATGCTTTGGCTCAAAAAAGGAGTGTCCCGCAGAAGCTCATTCACATGACCATTTGACAAATGTCCCATTGAAAACGCACTGTGGCACTAATTGTTTACATGCTGCCTACAGATACTCGTGTTCACTGCAAAAACATAGATTGCACACATTATAAACCGATACACTGGCGAAGTCAAACAATGTACTATGCCTGCATTTCCATATCTACCCCATTCCTCATACATTTTCTCCGAGGCGGGAAACGTGTCTTGCACATTTCGACGATGGGAATTGAAATCAATGTAAATAAAATCTCATGTCTTACAACTGAATAATCGAAAGAGCTTTTTTTCGGCATTCCGTTTTTTTTTTTGCTGCTCTTGTCCACGTCTCATCAAAAAACATGCACCAAGAAACCAATGATTGGTTTGTTCATTGGCGACTCCCTGTTTGAATCAGTCGCCATCAAAACGTTGGCTAAGACATAGACTAACCTAGATTAATCTCGTATATTGCTGTTGCTCAGGGGACTGGAATATAACCAAACACAAGCAATGGGTTACACGTGTATATAGGTGTAAATGTTAGTACTCACTCAGCACGAAGCATGAGGCATCGTTTGAATCGGGGCTATAAATGAATACCATCTTTCAAATAAATAAGAAAAGTATTGCGGTCGAAACTACATACACCTATAAGTACATCGTAGGTCGTTTATGAAAGGAAACATGTGAGCGCTCGGCCTGCGCTTTCAAGCGGCTGCCTACAGCACCATCAACCTAATGCTTAACAAAACCCTTCGGCTTTTGGCGGCAAAACCTGTTATAAGACCACAGCGGGAGTGTTATTTATCTGTGCTTGCCAATGGCTACTACTTGTTATTTCGTTTGCCAATAGGTGGCGGCAAAAGCCCACGTTTTTTCACTGGCTCTCAGTTGGTGGTGCGGTAGGCAGCCGCCGCAGAGCACAGGCCAAGCGCCCGCGTGTTTGCTTTCTTAAAATATGACAGCCTCTATTTCTTTAATAGAAATGGTTTCTATGCATTGCTAGATTGCACGCAATCCTACCAGTTAGTTTTGTTGTATGCGTACAAACTTTTGTAAGCAGAATGATTGCTTAAGATGTTCAGCGGTATAAATTTTTAAATTCGTTTATAGCAGTATTAAATTATACATTTTCCTGCAGAACTGCATATAGCGAGAACGTTTGGTCTGTCAGTGATCACAAATATTGGTACCAAGAATCAGTGCAAAGTCACGTTCTTACCTCTGGCCCACATAAGCGGAGAATGAAACCCAGAAGTGCCAAATACCAACTTGCGTTCCGCACAGAAAATACGGTGTCGTTTGTCGCAGCGAAAAGAAGTATGATGCTGAAATCTAAGAGTAAAGGGTAAACGGTTCACTGAAAAGTAATAATCTGGATAAAAATTTTCTAATTAACTGCAGGGAATGTGATCGGTTCCAGATAAGCATTTGACAACGCCTGTGTTTTGTGAACGAACAAGTGTGGCTGATCGTGCACTTTCACAGAGTAGAATAGTTGCTCTAAAATTTTGTAACCTTTTCTATAGGACCAGGCTGTGTAATATTGTCATCATATAAAGCACAAATTACGGTAATAGCAGTTCCCTCAATGCTTTCCAGAAAATGGATGTGAGAACGACAGTTCTCAGGGTCGACGCATCGAAAGTTCACCCATTCTTGATTGATATGTGGAGTTTAACGTCCCAAAACCACTATATGATTATGAGAGACGCCGTAGTGGAGGGCTCCGAAATTTAGACCACCTGGGGTTCTTTAACGTGCACCTAAATCTGAGCACACGGGCTACAACTATTTCCGCAGCCGCCGCAGCCGGATTCGAACCCGCGCACTGCGGGGTCAGCAGCCGAGTACCCTTAGCCACTAGACCACCGCGGCGGGGCGTTCACCCATTTCTTAACATGAACAACCAGTCAATCAGAGATGTTTGCGTTTATATTTTCCACCAGCTGTGAGCAGTTTGGCTCGCTTCTATGTATCGAACACCACTTTTTCTGTTCCCTATCCTACCAATTCTGAAAACGTGTGGGTGTAACAAGCACACACAAACTGTCCTGCCATCAACTGATAAATGACGCGCTCTGCAAAAAAAAACATTAGTGGACACTAAACTAAAAAATAATTAGGAGGCATTTTGCCATTTCTGAAAAATTTGAAGACGAACTATGCCGACTGCATAGTTCACACTTCAATAACTTGTACACTTCAAGACTGTATTATAGGCTGAGACCAATGAGAGGTCAGTTTTTTGTTGTTGACTTGTTTTATTTGCTTTTTTACGTAGAATTTAACAAGCATTCCTCTAAAAATCGTCGGGAAAATTAGTTCAGTAAGAAACGTGCAAACAACTAGGTTTTTTGAATAGTACTTTCCACATAGCACTTTTGTTATATTTTGATAGATCTTGTATTCGTAATTTTTATGTTTAGGATTTTTATCTTCACTTGCAGATTTGTGTACTCGGCAATTGTACTTCCAAGCCTGAAATAGACAAAGCGGAATAATGCCTACAGGTGGAGAATCATTTAAAAAAACTTCCTTTCATATTATTGCCACGTACCCGTCTGTGTTCCCCGTAAAATATTTTCACAGCAAAACAGTAAATGTTTCGATGGAACTTCCTTTATGGGCAACTGTTAAGGATCATAACACCAAATATTTTGAAGAGTGAAAGTTACTTTTCACCCACATTCTACAACCACATGTGGCAAACTTTATTATTAAATAAACTTTTGTTGAGATTAAAAAAGAACTGTTCCTTTCATTCCTTCTAGAACGAGTTGTCTCATACAATGCATCCGCGTTTTGGTAATAATTGATTGTCAAACAATTTATAATATATATATATACATATATATTATGTATCGACATTGAGCAACGCAAGGGCTCGAGCTTGAACTAGGCTAATAAAGTGAATGAGGAAAGAGGAAAAGCATATTAACAGCCAACCTGGAATACAGGCATTGTCTCTGGCTCTCTTCATATCACTGGCCTACGAAGTACGAACTGTAAGCGCGTCTCTGTGGGTCATCGCTACTGCGCTCTTTTTCTTCCCGCGATAGCCGCTCAGGGTACCGCGATAATGCAGCCGACGACACTCTGTACAACCGAGAGCACATCTATTCGAGGATGGTGTCCAGGTCTTCCCGATAGCTCAAGGTTGTTACGAAGGCCAGAGGCTAAACCGGTCCCGAAGGCGCCACTGCTCCGACCTCCGCCGACACGGTCACAGCCCATTGGTAGCGTGTATCAACTCTGCGCTCGCGACTGCTCTGCGCAGAGTTGATAGACGAGCGGACGAGACGACGGTGCGTTAAGGCAAGCTTTATGTACAGCATAGAATTAGAGGCGTTACATAGAAATAAACGCAGTGTTCACTTCGTTTCTTTGGCTGTACAGCACGTACTTCTATGCTGCGTTACGACAAGGAGAGCTAAAAGCAAGATAGATAGATAGATAGATAGATAGATAGATAGATAGATAGATAGATAGATAGATAGCTAGATAGATAGATAGATAGATAGATAGATAGATTAGATAGATAGATAGATAGATAGATAGATAGATAGATAGAATAGATAGATACGCTCAAGGTCGCTGAAGTTTGCCAAGAAATGCTTCGCATTCCAAACCTCTTCGACAGGATCCACCTATTTGCTCGTCATCCCAGCAGCCCTTTGCTAAGAAGTACTTCCAACACGCGACGAGGTGACTTCAGGCCCCTTAGGGTTACACGAGAACGCTGGCCAGAGTACAGAAGGAAATGAATAGCCAAGGACCGACCACCAGCCGTAAAGTGCCACGTTCGTACTTTCATTAACTGCCAGCGACGCAAGTTACGGCCGGACTAAACCAGGCTGGCCTCGTGCAGCCCGTGCAGTCCCAAAACACCATTCGACCAGATTGGCTTGGATATTTTGGGCCCCACTTCTATTCCTGGGAACCACTGGGTTATTGTCGTGACTCAATGCCTTAGCCTTTATGTGAAACAAAAGCTATTCAGAGAGGTAAAGCAGTGCAGGTGGCCCAATTTTTTGTAAGGATGTTGTACTGAAGCATGGCACACCAACCGTCGTGATCGCGAGGAAATGCATTAGAGCAGCTGTTTTGGGGTGACGCCCTGAAGCTGAGTGGAACAATCCATCGTAAGACCACCGCCTACTACCCGCAAACGATCGGCTTACCGAGCGTCTAAACAAAACAGCTGAAGACAAGCTTTTAAAGTACGTACTCGTCAAACACGAAATTCGGACGAAATCTTGCCGTTTATCACTTATGCATACGACATCGCCAAATGAAAAACAACCAGCATTTCTCCGTGCAGCCTCATTCACGAACGGGGAAGTATGAACTTTTTAACATGTGATGCTATCGCATCACTGTGACAAACATTAATCCGGACGCCGAGATGTTACAGAATGCGCCGAAGAAGCAAAGCAAATAAAACGCTTGCGAATCCAGCAGCAGCAAGAGTACGACTCAGGCCACTACAATGCTCACCGCAAAACAGTCGTTTCCCAGACCGTCGACACAGTATGGGTTTGGATGGCCACACAGAAACGAGGACTCTCCTTAAAGGGCCACTCGCCAGGTTTGAAAATTTCGAGCTGACAAGCGCAATGCGCAGGCGAGGCGTTCATGCTCACGCCTGCCAAAATTTGCAACGCTACGCGCCGCGGAAATGGGTCAAATTTCAAAATGAAAGCTTCTCCCCCTCCCCTCTGCCGGCGCACGCGTAGAGAATGAGGGCATGACGTAGGCGTAGGATTGGCCCTACGTACACTTTAATGCAGTGACGTTGGTCCGCTACGCAGGCGACTCTGCTCTGACGTTGTCAACAGTATACCACGTGACATGACGAAAATGATTTAACACAACATGCGCAGTTTATGTATTTGTTAGTTTAAGAGATGAATAAAACTTGAAATAATTTATGAGACGCAATAAAAATTGTGCACGTTCTTCTTACATTTTTTTCCCGTAAAATGCTACGAGATGCGAGGCTTATGTGCCAGCGTTTCGCATGCGTTCGGGTCCCCATGGTCAGCGCATTGAGCACGACGACGCCGTGGGAACGTTTCTACTCGTTCGCTCACTCATTGTGCTCATCTACTCTACCGCATCTAAGCCAGAGTTTCCAAACGATCCCACAGAAACAGGCAGAAGACCACAAAATAATGCTGGCCAACAAAGCAACGCGGCTCGCGTGCACCGGGGCAGGGCTTGTTCGGGCACGTCATGCACACGTAACCTCTTGGTCGTATGCTGGAGATTGTGGAGATGAGATTTGGCTTGCGAAAACTACGCGGAGCAGCAACGAGGGTTTCGAGATCGCCTCCTCTGACCCTCGTTTCGCGCCGCTTCAAAAAAACCTGTTTTCTCTGCTCGTAATGAACCGATTCGAAACATTTTTGTGGCAAAACGTTTTTCATCGACACCCAACAATTTCCCACTGTCTAAAACTAAAATTTGATATGGGGCCTCATGAATGGCCTCCAAGCTGGTAAGGAGTACTTTGGGCAATACATATTACTTCGACGCTTAGTGATGTTGCTTACGAAGTCTTTACTGACAGTTGTATAATACGAGCGTCGCGAGCACCGTCCTGAACTCGTTCACCTAGTGCACATGAAGCTTTGTCCGGGAGTAATTGCGCAAGACTTTTCTAAAAAATGGCATCATATCCCCGGGTGAATGGAGAGTGGTGTGAAGCAATCCGGCCGTTCATTCATTCTTCTTCCGTCCATCCTGCGTACGTCTGTGTGACCGAACATGCGTCAATCTGCCCGTCCGTGCGTGGCGTCTGTACGCGCGTTCGCACGTCATCCGTGTGCCTGTCCCTGCATTCGTCCATGCATCTGCCCCTGCATCCGTTCATGCGTCCATCAGTCCGTGCAGCCATCCGTGCGTCTGTCCATGCATCTGTCTGTGTGTCCGTTCGTCCACCTATTTAACACTATAAGTACCACCATCTCGCATTTTTTCATCATATATTCCTCATATAGAAGCACCGCCATCCATCGGACGTTCCAACGACTGAACGAGAGGAGGCACACGCACACTTTCTTACGACTTGCGCTTCGTGTCTACATCCCACCTTTAACCACCTCGAGTTCATGGTATATACTAGTTCACTGTATTCGTGGTGCTGTGGCTTACCGATCGCTAAACCTTTCTAAAACCGAAGAGGTTACGCCCAGGGAGCATAACGTAGCAACCCTTTCTTGTCAGATGATAGTGCTCAATGCATATGCCGGTGGCGGCTAATGAGCAATGAGAGGCAGGAGAATTCGGCTTTTGTTGAACGCGCACGCTGCGAATTTTTTACTGTTCGACAACACACAGGAAAAATCCCACACCGGCACCACCTTGCAGTTCAAAGCGTAAGACATGTTACGCATTACGATGAAAGACGAACGGGTGCCACTTTAAAATGCTTCGCCCCTTGAAAAAATCTGCCCTACTGATCCAGCATCGGGATGATGCTCTTTAGGAGAAAGGAAAATAACGCGTGTCTACATGTGGACGAAAACGACGATAAGGTGATTTCGTGGACTCCACATAGTGGCCCTTTGGCTGTTCGAACACAAAGAACGCAATCTTCCTGTTCTTCTTCTGGGGACCCGCAGTTATCGCTGTGTCAACGTCTCTCTGTCTTTTGTTCACGTTGCACCTCGGCAATATTCTGTTGTATGCCCAAACCCTCAAAACCAAAGACAAATTGTATAATGAGTTCAAGTTAATGATTCAGTAATGAGACACTTTCTATGGCAATTGTATCTTTTAGTTGTGTTTCGCACCTCTCACATGCCTAAGGTACTCACTCGGCTGCTGGCCCGCAGGTTGCGCGATTGAACCGTGAAGCGGCGGCTGCATTTTTGATGGAGGCAAAATTTTGTAGCAATTATCAACGTTTACGCATGGGAATGTAGACAAGGCCAACACTTGCTGCTGGAAAAAAGAAACAAAGTGAAGCAGCTTTTGTATTAGCGGCAGATACCGACAAAAGCAAAATTTCGCGTTTCTTCCGATGCTTCCTTTTAGTCCACCTTACCCTAATGATCTCGGTGACCAAAAAAAAACTTCTTTTAGGTAAGTTGATCTATAGCTAGTTCAGATTACTGAGGCGCAAAAAATATTTCGTTAAACATGAGGAACAAAAGAGAAAAAGAACAGCGCAAAAGCTTGGTGATGTTCTGTCTTCTCTTCTGCTCCTCCTGTTTCACGTAATGTCAGAGACGCCAAGCACTTTCTCGCGTTTTACACTGTACACAGCGTTCCCATAAAGACACGCCGTTCTATTGCTAGCTTTGAGTAGTAAAGGCAAATATCCCGGCAACTGCTCAGCGAAAATAATCTATTTCGTAAGAAATATGGAAGTTGAGTTTTCATTATCCATAGGCACCCTACAGTGGACCAGAGGGCGCGACGAAGCTTTTTGGGCCGCCTAAGTATTGTTGGCACCAACCGCCAATGATACCAAGAAAATGAGTCTCTCACTGAACACATTGATAAGCTGAAGTGTCAATGCCCTTTTTGG